CGTTACAAATGCGTGAAGCCCAAAAACACTTGGTATCATGAGACTTAGATCACTCTTTCTTTGTTGTTGTTGTCTTAGTGCAAAGCTGCACAATGGGCTATTAGTAATCTGTCCACCGAAGAATAAGAACTCTGGATTTTAGCGTTGTAAATTCATAACATTACTGCCTACCAACCAGGAACTTTTTCTTTGTTCTTATATAACTGGAGAACTCATTGACCAGCTTCAATTACATTTCTCTGAACAGAGTTATTCTTTTTAGTCAGAAATTCCTTTACCTCAGAACGTCAATTGTTTGTTTTTCTCATATGGTCCCCGATAGGACAGCGGTAACTTTACGGACTTACAACGCTAAAACCTGGGGATGGATAGACCAATTTGGGTGCTTGCTCTAAAACAATCAAACAACCTATTTTCTCATATGACTAATTGCTCAAAAAGTTATTTTTCTTTTACTTTTTGTCCAAGAAAGTAATATCCCTTTCAAGTATAATGAAACATAAACACATGATCTGGAAAGTCGTTGAATTGTTTTGTTGTACTTGCTTTGTTTCTTTGTTCTTTATAATAGGTAATGTCTGTTCCACCTGAGAGGATATTGCAGTAACATAATGAATTGAGGTTGAAATTGTTAAAGCCTATTAATAACGGCAAATTCTCTCAGGAAATAAGGTTAGTAATTCTGAATTTTCCTATTGTGTGTGTGTGTGAAATAACGAGACTGATAACGTTTGGTAAAAATGCATCCAATCTTTATTATTAAGCAAACAAATGTAACATAAATCCTTTCTTCAGGATTGATCTGTATACAACTAAACACGATGACCTTGATGTAAGTCCTTAATAAACCATTTCCTTATATAACTGGACCAAGAAAACGCGCATGAATTCAACAGATAAGCTCAGTTTCTTTGTCCAGTTGACAAAATCCCCTTGTAAGCTTCCTTCTCTCATAGCATTTGTTGGCTGTTTCATTTAGACAATGTCAACTCGGCCAGCAAAGAATATTACACTACTAATCCTGAAAATACTGCAATGTGATGCTCAAGTCGTGGATGTTAAAAAAATCCAAGAGTAAATAAGTCGTAGCAGAACAAATCAAAGGAACTATTTAAAAAAAACATACAAATAAATGCCGGAAATATTGTCTAGAAATATAATATAATAATTATTTTGTTCTTAACTTTTGAGAGAAATGCTGCATTATTAAAGCTGCAACTATAGGCCTTGATGTAACTGATCTTCTCTACGTCAAGCATTTTGAAGCAGCTCTTTATACAATTTAATAATTCGAGTTTTTTTTATGAACAAGGGTTGCATTTCTCTCGTAATGATGTGGTTGTAAATACATTATCAGACAACAGAGACAACGTGGACAAGGTCATGAAAGGTGAAATACGCCAAGTAAGAATCACTATCAGCACAAAATGCTCATAGGGTATCACCAGCAACTGGAGCGATTGTCAGCAAACAAATGGTAAGGAATAGACTTGAGGAGTTCAGTTTAAGTTCTTAAAGACATGTCTGCAAAGTCTGTCTAGACTTCGGTAGCGATCAATAGTAACGCCATTGACCTCTTGTACTCTTCAAAGATGAGAAAATGTTCTATGTTTTTTACAACGAGCTACTTGTTTGTGTCAGGATAATCAGGGGTAAATGATATTTGCTTCTCAATATAACTTAATACAACCATTTCAGTAGGGGTTCAGTAAGGGAATGAGAAGGAATTATTATGAATGGACTCACAGACCTTAGCATTTATTTAGGGTTTAATACTTGACGAAATGTTGGCGTGGTATTGGACTAAGCTGGACGACCTTTTGTAGGTACAATCAGTTCAAGTTTTGTCCTGATGCAGGGTTATACCCAGTGTCATACTGTCAGGATTATGATGGACTAGTTTGAGCAAGAAACCATAGGTGCCATGGTTTGGCCAGCAAGGACTCCTAATCCAACTGCCATAAAACACCGCTACGTCCGCTTAGAACCCTGTTTATGTTAACCATCACGTGATATTAGAAATATTTGATTTTGCACTGACTGAGGAATAAGCAGGATCGATATAACGCAGGTGCAAGTAATTTAACAATACTGGGTATCTATTTGAGAAAAGTCTATTGAATTAAATAATTCTAGCTCCGGAAACAGATTCTAGGACGGATTTACTCCCCTCCCCCACTCCCCACAAATTGCATTGAATCAGTTGGGATATGTCTTGGTCACGAAACGGGAAAACAATCTTCAGAACTCGATCAGGATAATGGATATAGGGCAACATTGTAGAGACGTGTTAGCCACACGACGTGAGCGTACAATAGACACAAACATTTTGAAACTTTTTAATTAGTGATATTATAGAATGTTTCTAAAGCCATTCCGAAACTATATAGGAAGTGTGGTACGTCAGGAGCCATTGTGGTACAACTCTATACATATAAACACACGTGTGTTCTTTTAAGAGTATAATAAAACCTTTTTTCAATCATTAATTATACTTGTCATAATAGAGTAATGTTAGGCTTAGTATATTCGTTAACGCTCCTTTCTTCATCTAGTCTTTTAGGGAGTTTCAAAAATTAGAAGAGTGAAAAATAACAGTATTTTAACAACACTATATTCGTCATATTCATTGCCGACGACGTGTTTCGCTTAATTAATCTATAGATCTTCAGACCGGCTGGGATACAACAAACACAGTAGTAGTCGGGATACTGTTTATATAGGTCATTTGTTATTACAACAATTGTTACAGTTGAACGCCTTTTATAAGCTGGCGAAACACGAATATAATAAATTTTACTTGCCACGAGATAGTAGCGTTAGGCCTATAACACGTTTTAACACTACATTCCTTATCTAGTTAGTCAGTTAGAGATTTTCAAGAATTTAAAGAGTGGTTAATAATAGTATTTCAACCATGATATGAAGTAGCTTGTCAGTGTATAATACAAAGATTACTTAGCTTCAAATAAGTAAAATATGACTAATTTTTTTGTTTCTTGTTTGTAACATACAGTATTTTATAAATACTAATCTGTCATAATCGTCCTTAAATTCCATACACATTACTTGCATATAAAATAGTAACAGTAGTAGGAAAAGATTGAAAATACACAGTTCACTTGTGGTATTTATTAACTGATAGCCAATCAAACTACTAAGGTTGTTTTCCAGATAAGTTCAATAATTATCATTGAATTTTATTACGTAAATAACTGTTATTGTAATTTATTCATAGTTATTCGATGATAATAAGTTTAGTGAATTTTTGATAGTGAACAATGAACTTTAACTATTTTAGGTATTTACATAAAAAAGATCAAACATTGAATGATTTAAAATGATAATTATTTGTGTGTTTTTTCTTAAAAGATTATACATTTTTTGATTCTAATTTAGATGTATGACATATTATAACCTCAGATAATATGTCACCGTTTCAAATGTTATATAGTAATTTTTAATTGTAATTCTGTATCTACATTTATTTGATGTTTGAGCTTCTTTCACAATTTTTGATAGAGAGACCTAGAATTTTGACTCTTGATATAAAATAGGCCCGGCATGGCCAGGTGGTGAGGGCACTCGACTCGCAATCTGCGGGTCGCGGGTTCGAATCCCCGTCACACCAAACATGCTCGCCCTTTCAGCCGTGGGGGCGTTATAATGTGATGGTCAATCCCACTATTCGTTGGTCAAAGAGTAGCCCAAGAGTTGGCAGTGGGTAGTGATAACTAGCTGCCTTCCCTCTAGTCTTACACTGCTAAATTAGGGACGGCTAGCGCAGATAGCCCTCGTGTAGCTTTGCGCGAAATTAGAAAAAAACAAACAAACAATGATATAAAATAAAATAAAAATTTCGAAAGAGTTGAAAAAGAGATCTCAAAAAATAGGAGTCCATATTTTTTTTTTGGGGGGGGGGAGTGATGGTGAAGGGGTGCTTTCAGGTTTAAGCGAATTGATTAAAACATTAAAACAGATAGTAATATGTAAGGAGTCGCTCAAAATAATATAAATTCGAATTTTGGAGTAGATCAATTGGAGTTCTCATAAGGAGATAATATAAATGTACGGATTGAAAACTGGCATCATTATGTAATGGATTGTTCAGAATTTTGGAAATTTTTATAGTGGGACCTTCTAGTGGGATATCAAAAGCCCTTCCTTTTTCCTGGGGAGGGGGGTGAGTTATCATTAATGTCTGCCTGGATTTATTTGTTAATTTAAGAAGAACATATTGTGGAGTTGTTGTTTCCCGTGAATTTCATAAGTAATATACTAGAATAATTTACTTTCGGTTATTCTCACAATTTTACAATTCGTTACCGTTTGAAAATATTGAATAGATATATATTTGTGTTCTCAAAAGTGTATTGCGGTCATTTTTAATTTTTTAAACGTTACGTGGAATTAGAAGCGAAATTTATGAAAACTTTCTCGATCTGTGATTCACTGAATCTAATGCAAAAAAAACCCAACAAAAAACAATCTTGTTACACTTGTTGATAATGGTTTACAACAAACAACATGTGACTTGTACAACTCAGTGTACCAAAAACTGCCTGATTGCATTCGAGGTTAAATCACTTTATGTGTGTTTAAGTATAAACAGCCTCGAATATTTCAAATAATTAGTGAGTGACAGCGAAAATGATGTCAGATATCAGTTGCCTTATTTTCAGCATTAAATCCAACCATTTATCTTTCCAACAAGCGCACTCTAGGCATAGCCTCGAAACCCACATTATTGACTTGAATAAAAACACGTGTAAAACCTCCTACATGCAATCCCGAGAAACGTCATGCCAATGAAAATAAATTGTGAAAATAGAGACTTAGCATTTTACTCTAACCAGATGTAAGCTGTCTGTTTCGCTATCCTTATGTTATTAGTAATATTTTAATATTAATGACAACTAATGTGTGTGGGTGTATATATATATATATGTATACTAGTAACAAAACAGTTTATTCTAAAATCGCTGAGATGTAGGGAAAATTCCTGCATTCCACTACTCATACAGAGTGGATGCATATATACGTGAAGTGGTGGAATACAGGAATGAGTAACGCAGATTTTCTTTCCATCCCAGATGCTCTCTAGTTTCTGATCTTTTTCCATCAATTTTAAAATAAATATATTTGTTACTAGTTTCTGCACTTTTTACGAGTCGAAGTCTTGGCTTCCAATGGGGCTATAACTTCTAGATGAAAGGCACCATTTTACCAACTTATTCAGTTCTGTTCTATAAGGAGCCATGATATAATGTATAGAAGAAACTTCTTGAAGCAAATTAAGTCATAACCAGGATACTGTGCGGCGCGGTAAGGAGTATACGGTAGATTATCTAGTTCCATATAACGCGCATAATGGTTTACAGATCAGAGACCGTGATTAGTACTTTGGGTTGTAACTAACCCATCCCTGATTAGTGTTTAATTACATGAAATATTATACAGTTCATACAGTCTGTCTTATTAGCAACGACACTATGGTTTAATATTGCAAGAGCATAAAAGTTTTTTATCAAATTAAAAGTTTTCTGCATTTTATTAATTCATTCTAAGTTAGATCTTTGTTTTCATATCGTATTTTATTTTTCTAACAAGCGGAGGTCAACATCACATCTTAAGTAACTATCTTTTGTTTTTCTAACAGGTTGAGGTCTACATCACATCTCGAGTGACTGTCTTTTGTTCTTCTGAGTGACGGGTATTTGTAAAAACGCGGACAATAAAGTAAAATGTATAATGCCATTTTTATTCATACACAAACAGAAGTGTGTGTGTGCTGACAGATTCAACAAAACGACCTTCATGTGCTTGGTATTCGTATTTTCTTAAGTTGAACTATCAAGACGTCGATAAAATAAAACTTTCTACATGAGCAGAAATTTCTTAACGGTAAATGCTTAATATAATATATACAACTTACATAAATCAAAACACGTGGAATCTGATAAGATTAGCATCATATGTCGCAGGTCTTGCCATCTATTGATTGATATGCATATTGAAAAATAATAAACAATCTGTATCATAGCATATATTTTGGGCTGTAACTAACCTATCGTGGATCACTGGGGGCTCTAGGTTTGGAATTCACATCCTAGGGAAATATTGAAGTGTTTTGATGTGCAGGCTTGAAGTGGTTTATGAGATACAGCTGACGGAAAGGATGAAAGAAGATGAAGAAAAGCCTGTTTGCTAGATGTCAAGGAAGATCAGCGGAACTTAAGAGGCAGTTTTATACTTAATTGGTGAAGGGCTTTCTGCTGTCCCTTTAGGTAAGTTTTGTCAATGTCCTAGCGTGCGCGCTACAGTGTTCAAAATGTAGAGGCCATCATTTTCAACCGCGCTCCCTGATATGTATACCGTATATATAAACCAACCCAGTACTGCTCAGCGGTAAGTCTGCAGACCTACGACGGTAAGAATCGAGTTTCGATACCCGTGGTGAGAAGAGCACAAATAGGCATTGTATAGCTTTGAGCTTGACAACAACCACACTAACAATATATATATATACACCAACCAAATTTATTTTGATCAGGGAAGTCTAATAAGATGAAATAAAATAAAGGTTTGTTTTTTTTAATATTTTTATAAACCAAATTGTTATATTACATATAGTAAATACGTTATAGGTCTGTCCAGAGAGAGAGAGAAATATTTTTCACCTACTCTAAGGCTCACTTATGATTTGTTCAATGCTACGAGAGGAGATAGTAGATTCCTGGCCATTGTTGAAGGAATTGGCCAATTGTGACACAGTCTAATATCTTTACACCGTACAAGGTCATTTTACTTCTTGGTCTGTTAGATCCCACAGAACTCACCTCCCTCCCTCGCTCATCTCCACTTTTTATTATTCTTACTTCATTTCTAGACACTGGCCCAAATAGGAATTAGGTCTTGACTTCCAGTGGCCATATTTTTTCTAATGAAAACTTTTTTTCCCTTTTGATTAACTCTGCAGATAGCCTCGAATTCTTATGCCAGTTACAGGCCCGTACGCATAATGTTTGAAATGGGGTTTCTAATTTGTGAGATCAAACGCTAACACATATTGGGCGAAGCACAATCTGCATGCAAAGCATGGTAATGCTTCGGGGGTCTGGGAGCATGCCTCCTCCCCAGAAAAATTGTATAAAATAGGTGCTATGAGATTAAATCAGGAAGCAATTTTGAATGAATTATAGCTTAAACAAGTGCATTTTATGCAGTTCACATAAAATCCACAAACATCCAAAGAAAAGTCAACAAACATTTGTACATACATTTGGCTTGCTTTGATATAAAGTATTTTATAACAAATGGACTGTGTTGCTGATTGTTTATTGTTGAAATTTATCGCCAACAAGTCACAGACACCTACTGTAAATAACCCGGTTTGCAAAACCTGACAATTACAAAATGTAAACAGAAGCCATTGCATGCGACTATTTCAAGCCCAAAAATGCTAATACTTCATCAGAAGAATGTAGACTATGTAGAAAATATTAAATACCATAAACAGCCGCGATACAACAATATAAGCATATTTTTTTTACATCACAAAAATAATGGGTTCAGCTGAACCCCCTCAAACCCCCCTGCTTACGTGCGTGAATTACTGGTGTGTTTCTACATTTGTGTGTGTGTGTATGTGACTTAATTTAGTAGTCATTGACTTTAATATTATTTATTAAAACATAAGAACCAAATGTTGTGTTCTTATTGTTTTTGGTGGTACTTCTTTTAGCTTCAAGCATGTATTGCAGCTATGTAGTTATACATCATCTTTTTTTCTTACTGGTATCCAGTGCACCCACACACACACACACACAGTACGTAGTGTAATCTAAGATTATAAATGCAACCAAATATTTGAATCGAATTTAAGCTAACTTCGTATATTTAGGTAGCCGGGAGTTACTGGTTACTGCCAGGATACGTTTTCGTTCATGTCTTCTTCTGTACTAATACTATTACTTTTGTATTCTGTTAGGCAAAAACATTGGATCAGAAGAGGAACAGACATTGCATACCGTATTGTTTTGTTAAGGTCATTTACCAGCAAACTGTTGTTTGTTACACTAATTGTTTCGTGCTTATTGTAGCGTGTATCATCACAAAGACCTATTCACGTTGTTTGTGTCATCTACAGGATTCGAACCTCAACTTGTAGCGTCATAAGTCCTAAAGTTTGCTACACCTATATGTACGTCTCTTTTTCTCCAAATACACTTCATTCGAAGGTAGTTAACCTGTACAACGACCACGTCTGGCCTTGCTAAAGTATCTTTGTTGCCGAAAATGTGGCATAAGGAAGAATAAAAAAAAACGAATATAATTTTAACTTCAGGTTAAAGGGTTTCACGTGCACACTCTTTCTATAGTTTCAACAATTTATTTATAGTATTGTACCTGCTATACGAAGAAAATAACATACAAAAAGTATTGAAAATTCGAGACTGTTTTGCAACTCTTAACTTATAATCTATAAAAATTATGCTGAAATTTACTAGATATATTACATGCAAAGTTACCTCGAAGTGAAACAATACATAAAAATGCTATAACAACTTTCCCATCAGTGAACAAAACAGTATATGGAATATGCTGTAATAACTTCCCAATCAATGAACAAAATTTCTAGGTGAGAGGTAAGGTAAATTGTATCTAAATTTGAAACTTGCGTTATCTGCATAAATAAAAAGTTACTCTGAGAATCAAAGTATAAGTTATCGATCTGCATTAAATCATCAATAGTATTGTTACGACAGCGGAAGTCAGGTGACGCTAGTAACACGAGATAAGTTTCTAGAAGGATCATGAAGGCCCGAGTGTTTTCTAGGCGCCCTCTATGTTAGTATATAAGACCGCCAAATAAAGCGGAGTGATTAATTGCAGATAGACAGATATAGAGGCAAATAATCGAGTCAAGCCGTAAGTAAAGTGTGTAAATCGCTGTGAATTATAGCTAAGTTAAAGTGACTGTGGAAATTAAGTGTATCGCAAAGTTGTATTGAGAAAGAATAAACTAGTTTTAATTAAGAAAGGGCTTGTATCGCTGAAGTTTCATCGGAAAGAAATTATCAAACAAGCACTACGTAACAGTATTATCTTAAGAACGCCTTATAGTCAAGAAATGCGTCAATATTATTAGGTGTTTTTTAAAATGTAATGACACCTGAAAATTTCGTACAAAAACAAACTTTAACCAATAAGGCTGATATAGCTTTTCAAACGCATTTTTCTAAACTATTTCTGTACCAAACTGCTTGGGGGTTAAATAATTTATTAACTACAAGTCCCTCCCTAATAACTTATGAGTCACATAAAAATACCATCAGTATTACAATTAATTTAACTAATTATCTATGGGGTCCATTATGTATTTTACTTAGAAAATGCGCGATTTCATCCAACTTTTTTTGTCAGATTTTACATAAAGTGTTGTACAAGCAAACACACAAAGTTGCTCAATATGATGTAAAACGTGGACCTCACAGGTAGTAAACAGTAAAAAAAGAAGTCTGTAATTTAAAAGGATTAATTAGATGTCCCTGGGCGCAATTTACCCGAGCAAATTAAATAGCAAAGAGATTCTCCAGTATCGGGAAAGAAGCTCATTAACAATATGTTCAGACAACTATCTTCAAACTTATAGAACTGCTCACAGAGAAGAGAGCGGCGTCGGAAAGACTACACAAATTGGGGCAGGAAAGGACAGACATGAGAAATTGTGAAAACTTTCTGACCGAGTCAGTTACAGTAAATGTTATCTCAGTAAACATCTGAACGAATTTTGAGATTTCCATTGTATGATCGCATACTGTCTGGAAACACACACACACACACACACAAATGTGCGACATTCCGTCATCAAGTTTTGAAGTATTATGTGATGTATCCCTGAATTTTTGTTCCGAAATAAAATAAGAAGTAAAATGTTGAGATTTTAAGATTTCTTTTGATGTAAGATTTATTAAATTTGTTTTGGATGAAAGAATAAAAACAAAATCTAAACTTTAGACGTAATTGTCAATTTTTAGCATTCTATTGGAAATTTTATTGAATGTAGATTGTGAAAATAAATACATTTCCCGCCTGCGCAGAGACATCTTGTCTGTAGACGATACGAAGACGGAAATGCATATAGGTACAAGAATTTCAAAGCAATATTGTTAAAAATTTCCCCTTTGATGTTAGAAGTGGGACAGGGACTCCTTTTTAAAACGTGGGAAGGAAACGGCCCGTTGTCCCCTCCCTCTCTGGCAACTATGACAGTGGATAAGAAAGCTGCTATTGGAGGTTGTCATTTTGAAAAGATAAAATAACCCAAATAGCATGGTTGAAAGAATTACTGTAAATTACACTAAAGTATATCTACAACCGCCTATTGTTTACATCCGTTAAAATCAAGTGCGCGCGCATGCGCACTTAATATTAAGGTAAATTACACTAAAGTATATCTACAACCGCCTATTGTTTACATCCGTTAAAATCAAGTGCGCGCGCATGCGCACTTAATATTAAGGTGCGCGCGCATTTTCAGGACAGACAAAAAAATGACTATTTTCAATAACAGATTGTTCTCAGAACCACCTATCTCGGCAAAATAAGTGTTCAGTTTTCTTCGGCAACTGAATATTTTATATCCTACTTAAATAATTTATTAAAACGATTCAAAATTATCTCATGCAGTATAAAAATAAACTGGTATTTAATGAGAATAAAAAATAATAATTTGAAAAGACAGATCAGCATCCTAGAACGAAATGATTCAAAATTTATATTGTTAAGACTTAACGGGATTTCATTTTGTACTAATGGTATGAGGTAAAAGGAGACCGTTGCCAGGAGTAATAAAAAAAATAATACAATTCCGATAAGATCTTCCAGTGGTACAGCAGTTTGTAGATTTAGCAACGCTAGAAACCGGGTTTCGATACCCGTGGTGGACAGAACAGAGAGAACCCATTGTGTAGCTCTGTGCATAATTACAAACAAACAGAAAGATCTTCTAAAGGTAACTCTATGGTTTAATTAATGTACCGTATCAACAACCGGGTTTCGATACCCGTGGTGGGCAGAACACAGAGAGCCCATTGTGTAGCTTTGTGCTTAATTACAAACAAACAGAAAGATCTTCTAAAGGCAACACTATGTTTTAATTAATGTACCCATTTCTATGATGAGAACCATCACATTCTTGAAATTAGATTTATGTTGGTGCAAATGATATAGTTTCTTCAAAATGCAATGAATGTACTACTTTTGTCTTTATTGATTATAATGTACACACGACACGTTTTTTTTTATCCTAATTTTGTTTTTACGACTCTTCATTTAGCGTTTTAAAGCTTTGAATTATAACTCTATATAGTTTGATATATGCTTCTACTTATAATATGGAAATAAACTGTTAGGCCTTGAAACCGTCTTTCCAAGAACTTCCTCGTTGATATCCACGAAACAGGAAACTTCAAAACTTTTTTGTGGCAGCTGACAAGAGAGCTATTCGTACTGTGTATTTTCGCTCTATTACAACTTAACTAGCGGGTTTATTTCGTTAAACAATGATTTTCAAACAAAAACATCTAGTAACTTAATCATTGTCGTTAGCAAGAAGTAGTTCTCGGAAAGTTGTAGATAGCTTCTAGAGATGGCGGTAGATTGGAAACTCGTACGACAATCAGACAGCTAAGCTATTTATTACAATGTAATGGAATGTTTATTAAGTATTAACATATTTCCAGTATATTTTTACGTGTCTGAGTATGTAAGAAGCTTCTATTCAGTAACGACTGAAAATTATAATATACCAATTAACTATTACCGATCTTTTGGATTCCTTTATATGTGTTTTTTGTTCAGAAAAGGATAATAAGAATTATTTCAATTCAACGTAATACTTTATTATTGTGACAAATGTGATTCGCGTATTTTAATTGCTTTTTAAGATAAACCAATCACATAATTATAAAAACAGTGAATTCGCCACAACATACTGCGTCATTAATGATAGCTTTTTCTATTTTATCTATTCGAAAAATATATAAATATCGATAAGGTAATTATTGCTAACGTTAACAACTTAAGAGTAAAGGGTGTAAAGACTAAACACTATTTCGAAATTTTGAAACGCAGAAATTTTTATCCATGGCAAAGATACTAAAGCTATCTGACATCGTTCCTGAACGGAGGGAAGTCAATAAGTCAGTAGCACCCAACAACCCACAATCTACACTAAGAGATTGACTGCTACGCTTATAACGTACTTACAGCTTAAAGTTCGGGGAATACTTGTGGTATCGCACAGATTCGAATCAATCAACTTTGCCAGCTCCGAAATTCCGAGCTCTATCATAAGCCTAACCAGCATCCGAAGCATAGGTTTGTTTGTTTGTTCTTGAATTTCGTGCAAAGCTACACGAGGGCTACCTGCGCTAGCCGTCCCTAATTTAGCAGTGTAAGACTAGATGGAAGGCAGCTAGTCATCACCACCCACCGCCAACTCTTGAGCTGCTCTTTTACCAACGAATAGTGGGATTGACCGTCACATTATAACACCCCCCACGGCTGAAAGGGCGAGCATGTTTGGTGGGACGGGGATTCGAACCCGCGACCCGCAGATTGCGAGTCGAGCGCCCTAACCACCTGGCTATGCCGGGCCTTCCGAAGCATAGGAAAATCCGATATCGAGATCCAAGCATAGCAATATATCTCAATGTATTCTACTTGAATATCATCCTATCTTATCTTCATTTTTGCATTGCGCCTATTGCACATTTTCCCTTTGTTTCTGAGCATCCAATTCAAAATCATACATTTTCATATATATTTAATATCCCTTTTGATTTTCGAACTGTGCTGAACCTAGTGTGTCAGACTGAGGATTTCAAAGTCCGATATGTGATTGTCACAGTGCCGGTTCCGTTTTTCAGGTATAAGCGCGTTATATTAATAACAATGGCGATGAATGCTGTTGGTTGGCTGCCTTCCATCTCATCAGTAGTTCAAAATTAGAGGTGATTTCCCTGAATCCTAGAGATCTTTGACCTGGTCGTTTAGCTCACGTGCACAAATGGTGTTAGATGAGATTATGGTAACTGTGAGTTGTTTTTAGTATACATAGAGTAAAAAAGGAAATGATCTCCTTTTATTACTATTCAATTTATCTTATAACCACTTTTATAATACATAACTGAACAGAGAATCCTTATGTATTAACACTTAACAGCATATCACAATCATTATTATTTTTTACTGTAAAATCCAACTAATCCCCCTGTTCCATTCATTTTAAAGATGAAATATTATTTTCCTATTAACTCGCAGCAATGTGTAGAATCATGTGCATATTTTAGAAGTTGCTGACAATTTTTTATGATAGAGAAAAAGGGTACTTACAGGGCATAAGAACAAGAAGGCAGGGGCTTCAGTCCACCCCCTCCCCGTGCACATCACCAATTGAGAATCCCTATTCAATTATTTTACAAATACTGAGTACCTCACACTTTCCCCGCAGCCTCCAGTTCTGTGTCTTTGGCATCAATTTTAGCAACTGTTAGGTTAAAATACGAAACAGATCTTTTTCTGTATAGCTTGAATTCGACCAGCTATATGACTAACATGATCCACTAACCACCTTGTCTTCTATCAACCACATTGATATCCTTCAGTCCTGGATTTCCTCCAAAATATTAAATGTAGTCAGAAGACTTATCCCCTCAAAAATTAATGTCTCATAAACTGTGTCTCGAACTTTATAGCCCTTACAGTGATTTAAATATCTTGTTGAAAATTCATTAGGATTGGACAAAGAGATTTTTATAGGTGGCTAGAGCGCTTGACTTGCAATCTATGGGTTCGAATCCCTGTCTCACCAAACATGCTCGCCTCAGTACTCTTTAAATTTCCAAAACACCTGCAGTTTTATAAATATTCTCCGTCTGTCTGGAGCTCTAATTCACTAAATTAATTTTTTTCAATATTTTTTCAACCCTGACTTTTCTATTTTTATGACAACAAATGGTTTGAATTAAAGTAAATTATTTATATATCGTATAACGTACTATAACAAACGAAAACACTTCTGTTTCTATAAAACAATTTATTTAACCCCAAATCTGTACATTTGATTCCTTAACTATGCATACAAATATTCCTAATATATCACATTTTCCTAAGGCTATTAAAGCTAGCCAAAGATATTTAATGATTTAAAATTTATATCACATATACTATTTTTTGTTAGTATTATAATATGCTAGACGAGCCGCCATTCTGGATTTAGTTATTTCTTAATTAACTTGATAATTACTGCCACCAGAAACTCACAGAAAAACTTGTTGAAAGTGATCGTACGTAATGCCAACATCTTGGAGGAATGTACAATAATTGTCCAGGTTCTATAATACACTCCTTACATTTGGCCTTAGCAAACAGCGGAAACTTTTCTAGATCTGGATTCTCCACATCAACCTAGAAGAACAGTTATTCCTTTGTGATAGTAAAGTGCTCACGTACAATTATCAGTTTAGACATAAAGTAATTAAAGTGGAAATTTCAGTTATCATCGAATAAATAAAATTATAGTAATAATTTAATTATCAGTTTAATTACAGAACAGCTAAATCTGTTGCTACAGTGTTGTTGAAAACTGATTTAAGAGTTTAGTTACAGAGTAGTAAATTATCCAACAAGTATTGTTAATTAAATATCCAATTACAGTTTAGTTTAAGTCAGATAAATATCCAACTACAATTTAGTAAAAAAGACTAAGATCCAGCAAGATAGCATGACAGTTTACTTACACGAGTTAAAAATGCAGTTAAAATTGAGTTAATGATACATTCAACTAAGTAAAATGTTCGAACTATATACACTGTAAAGAGAAAAAAAAATGTTAAAGGTTCAACTAAACTTTAATAATAATCCAATTAAACAAGAAACCAAGTAATGTTTAGTTACAAAAGCAGTTAAAAATCTAACTACACTTTAGTTTCATGTTTTAAAGATCTAGCTAAGTTACCCATTACCAAAGATTACTTGAAAGTTAGCAATAAAAACTACACCAATATTAAAAATGTTCAGTGTTTGAAAAAAAAACAACAAAGATTGTATCTGGTTATTTCGTCATTTTTATTTTCATTCAAATGACAAAGATAAAACTCTTCGAAAAACATTTCTTACCCGACTAGTGTTATTTAACAATCTTTCCTCATATGGATATAAAAATGGTGTTGTTTCTTCGGAATAAAGTCGAACGTATTTTTTTCCAACTATCTATTAAGTTAGAAAAAATAAATAACAAATTCAGAATAAATATTTGGTCTCATACAGTTTACAATTAAAAATAGTAACATCAAAAAGTTAAATGACTTTCAATCAGCTTAATTTCAAAAAATCAAAGCAAACAATTTAAAAAAATTTTCAACAAGCACTTCCAAATATTTTATTCCATAAAACTTCACGTATCTTTACATAAAAAATTAATACCATTGAAATTAGTTTGATAAAGCTAAAAGCATACAAAATCACATAAACATCAGTATAAAAAATTAAAACAGAAAGTGCATAATTAACAACCAGATTTAATACTTCACTGTAAATAAAATTACAGTGGTACCTGTTCCAAAAGAATGTTACAGTGCTTACTTAACAATCACATAGATGTGTTGCAAAATAAAATCAGCTAGGTTAAAACACAACACTAGGTTAAGCAGTAAATGTGTAAACCCTTTCTAGAAATGAAACTACATTTAAAATAAAAAAAAGTTTTTCAGAAAAATTTGGTTTATATAGAAACCATAAAGTAAATTCTAAACTATTTTTCATGGTCAATTAATGTGATTGAAGAGCTCACCTGAGCCAAAAGATTATGTTTTGGATCATAATGAAGAGGAGAAACTGTTCCCTCTGGACCAAACCATCCATTTATATCCACCTCATTATCGGTTTCTGCCAGGCAACAATAAGTTGGGATGCTAATGTCTTCCCGTAGTTCTCTAATCTTCAGAGAGTTATCTATCTTAGACTATATTTCTTACAGTCATTAATAACTAGTTAGTATCTACCTAAACTTTTGTAGAATTCTGCACATTTAGTACATCACTAAATTTAAAAAAACATGATAACTTGTCTGTTAGTCAACAGATATGTGTTAAACTGTGCATTTACTGCTTGTAATAGTTATATAGAATAAGCTTACCACCTCACTTAAGCTCTCTGTGGAAATTCAGTTTCATAAGATGATTTATAAAATTCACGTGTACTTCAATATTACGATTATGGCTCTATTATTCTTAATGTTTACACACTGGAGGTGGAAATTACATTTCCTTTCACTTGTGAAGTTGATTCTCTTAAGGAAAGTTACACACTTTCAGAAAGCCTGTATTAATTTGGATCTTTACTATAAAGTAAAAAGTTTAAATCAGAATGGATGAAGTAATGTTCTACTATGTTGGCTATATCAAATGCCTTACATTTCTTATAAATAATTAATCATTCAAGAAGAAAATGAAACAACAACAATGATGTCATTCACAAAAAACACTGAAGTTTTATCCACACTTCTCTCTCTCCCCCTCTTTTTTTCTAGGTACATTTGTGTATTAGACATTTAACACTACAAGTAAAAACAAAAAAAAGTTATTATGAAGCCAACTCACTTGATCAAACAACTGATGCTGAGCAAGATAGGCTACATCAGTTTGACCCTATAAATAAAGATAATACACATATATATATATATATAAAACATGTTCACTTGTTCTATAAATAATTATTACAGAAAAACATGATCAAATTAATAGCTCCATAAAATATTTTGAAAAATTCTCATGTTGAAAGATCTAAAAGTAATATAAATTTTTTAAATTTAATCAGCTTATGCACTTTGGGAGATTGTAAACTTTGTAAGAATAAATTATATGAATTATTACTAGTAAAATAACTTTTTAAAATGTTTTTCCATATCAGTGAGAAAACACAACACTTATAAAAAGTTTTCAGGAGATAAACTGCACAATTTATTCCTACATTTTTCTTTAAGATGTAGGTATCTACAAATTTTTGTACAGTCATGAGCTTCTGTGACCAGTTAACATCAGTGTAGCGAGCACCAAGTTCCACAGGAACTGTTCTAGGCCCAGCAACCTGAAGAAGGTAGTCAGTGCTGGAAGACAAAAAACAAATTCCATTTCTACTTAAGCATAACCTTTGTGTACTATAAACGTACATCTGATATAACGAAATCACAATTTTTATATATATATACAAAGTTAGGTTTTTTTTAAATTTATTTTGGAAGGTAACTAGATTAGTTTTGCCAAAATTCACTAATGTACGACCATCAATCAATCTAATTTGATTTAGTGCCTAACAATAGCATAAAAAAAGTCAAACTAATATCAACTTTTATGGACATAAAATACGAGTTATTCAGAGGTTGCACATAACATGAAAAGTAAAATTCATACCAAATTTTATGGAGGCAACAAATAAATAACTAACACTTTCAAGATCAGTGGGGTATCAATGATATTTCTTGGTTTGTTTCCTTCTTACAGTGGAAATATTTATCCAAACTGATAAAACACACTTAGTACAAACTTATTAAATAGTACCTAGATTCAGTTTTAAAAATCCACAAAATTGGGTTTACTTTTTCTATCATTTTTTATATTATGAAATATCCAATATTTTGTTGTAATACAGTTTTTTGAAAAAAACATTAAAAATTCTTCCTTTATTTTAATATGTTATTTTTCCTATTGGAGTAGTCACCACTTCTGGTCATAAATTATAAAAACACAGCGAAACACTGACAAAGATTTATCAGTGACCTACAACACGACCTAGCACAATAGCATAACTATTTCCTTTGTGAGGCTAAACAATAACGTTTCTGCTAACAATATTCTAGTTTGTACTCAATTTATATCTAACAAATATGGTTTCATTTCAATAAATAATAAGTTTTATTACTTATTTATGTTGTTTGAATACGATAAACTTAACAATGATATTCAATGAATAAAAACTACAGTCATCAGAATATTTTGCTGTTACCAACTGTACTCTTTAAACCTAACTAAGTTTACCTGATGTATTGACATAGAAGACGTTCTGTAGTTCTCAAATTTATATGATTTAACACAAAAAACTTTTCCGGAGTGAGAAGAATGTTAAATAACGAACTTCTAGTTCTGAAGTTTGTTCAAATCTTCTCACTTCCCATTAGATTCCTTTGTTCATATCTGCAAGACCTCTGTGTATAGTCACTCCCGACAAAAAACTTTTCCGGAGTGAGAAGAATGTGAAAAAAAAAACTTCTAGTTCTGAAGTTTGTTCAAATCTTCCCATTAGATTCCTTTGTTCATCTCTGCAAGACCTCTGTGTATAGTCACTCCCGACAAAAAACTTTTCCGGAGTGAGAAGAATGTGAAAAAACGAACTTCTAGTTCCGAAGTTTGTTCAAATCTTCTCACTTCCCATTAGATTCCTTTGTTCATCTCTGCAAAACCTCTGTGTATAGTCACTCTCCACAAAAACCACAGACATCTACTCACAGTATTTTACTTACTCTGCACTGTAAATACTTCAACATTTGTTCTATCCAATTGTTTTTAAACATTGCTTGTAGCTATTTTTAAAGATTACAAACTGCTCAGACCATATTCAGTGTCACCATAAAAGCTTGTAATAATGAAACCTCATACAGAAAAGGAAAATCACAAGAGAACCAATGAATGGCTAATTGTATTCTCAATAGATGCTAGTTTTTTCATATATATATATATATATATATATATATAA